TCTAAATAAAATAAATTTATCTTTTTATTTTCCAAAGAAAATACATATATATATATATATATTATTTAATGAAACATGCATCTATATATATATATATATATATATAGATGCATGTTTCATTAAATAATATAGACAGCTCGTGACATCACACATGACAATGTCAGAGTGAAAATGAGAAGTATTGAGTATGGGAAGCCGTTGGTATAAACCAATGTCTTCGGTTATCAATTATAGGCATTTAAGAATATTTGTGGAGATTTCGTACCTTATTTTGTTCAGGTTAGGTTTCAACTGTTTTATGTATATAGCTTCAAGAATTTTTAGATTTTTTTTCATTGTTTTCATGTTTAAGTATAGTTGTGTTTTCAACAAGGATTTTCCGGAATTGTGTACGTAGCCAGGTATGTTATTTTAAATGCCTAAAAATGTTAGAGCTGTGATGTGATTTCTGCTTCCGCGTCTTGTAAACACGTGTTAGTCGTTGCTTTGAAATTTTTCATGCAACAAAAACAGACGGTCATTATTGTTCCGTGTATTGGTTGATATATTGAAAAGTAATTGTCATCTTTGATAATGGCTTATATAAGCTGAAAGCTTAGATTGGATTTAAACATGTATCAATATAGTGATTTCCTTTCGTCCTTCAATGATAATGTTATTAAGCTTATCAGACAATATGAAAGGAACTTACTTAAAATAAATAGACAAAACTTGTCTATATTATTTAATGAAACATGCATCAATGAAAAATTGCTGGCTAAATATACACAATATATATATATATATATATATATATATATATATATATATATATAATTCCTGGCTACTCATTTCTGAGTAAGCCTGTCTGTTAGGGTAGCTATCTAATGTTTCAGACATATTCTCAGACATGTTTGTGTTTCTTCAGCACCCACAGAGTCACAGAGCAGACCTTAGTTACAGTTTATGGGACTAGTTGAACACACCAGCATAATCATCAGTGTCTTTTGAACAGCTTCATCTTTTTATTCACAAGGTTTGGGTCCATCCATGATATTCAGATCCTTCTCAATAGAGTTGCATGCTGAGATTTGGGAGTATCTTGCTGATCCAATAATATCAACAAATCATCTTCCGGATAAATCAACCATATTGAAATTCAAATCTGTGTCTTGTGATTGAAGCACTAACACTCACCACTTGGCTATGTGTATATATATATGTGTGAAAATATATAGAAAATAGGAAGGAACTGGTTAGGTAAATAATCCAAAGTTCCTTAGTATTTTAGTTATTATTTTTAAAAAATAGTGCTCGATACAAAAGTAGAGCATAAATATAATTATTTATTTAAAAATATGATTCCAACTTGTGACATAAAAAGTCTCATGTTTCAAAACAAGAGCCGAAAACTTCAATATAATTATTTGAAATAAATTGAGTTAAAGTGAGCTCTGTTCCATCTTCAAGCAAAATTTTTTTGGAATAACGTATTTCTGAAATTTTTGTGTTTTAATAATTGAAATCAAAATTTCCATGGTAACAGCTAGGGCGAATTGTTTAAATTGGGTAGGCGTGTGTTGGGTGTTAATAATAAGTATCAATATAGAGTTACTTTCATGGATGTCAAGTCAGGGAAAGGTGGGGGTGTCTAAATTTGAAACGGAAGATGTATTATTCCAAAAGAAATTTCGCTTGAAGATGGAACAGAGCTCACTTTAACTCAATTTATTTCAAAGAAGTTTTCGGCTCTTGTTTTGAAACATGAGACCTCTTATGTCATGAGTTGGAATCATATTTTAAATAAATAATTATATATATATATATATATATATATATATATATATATATATATATATATATATATGTATAGAAAAGTTTCAAATTGAAAATTATAATGTTTTATTTTATGAAAGTATTTATTTATTTTATATATATATTTGATATTTCAAATTGTCCTCAATTTTTCATCAGAAATAACTTTGTTACAAATAAATTAAAATTACTGTTTGTTGCAAGTAGCGTCCTTAAAAAAAAAAAAAAAAAATTTTTACTATATCTTTTTTTTTTTTTTAGATATAGTAAAAATTTTTTTTTTTAAATATTTATGACAGTTAGATTTAAGTTACGAATATCCGAACAGTGACGTTCCATATCATGTGACGTCCGGCGTCTCTGAAAGGACACTACTTGCAAACAAACAGTAATTTTAATTTATTTGTAACAAACAGTTATTTCTGATGAAAAATTGAGGACAATTTGAAATATCAAAATATATATAAATAAATAAATACTTTCATAAAATAAAACATTATAATTTTCAATTTGAAACTTTTTTTTCTATATATACATATTAAGAAAAGTATACGTGGCTTCTCATTATGCTATATATATATATATATATATATATATATAAAGATTTGATGGATTTTTTTGTTCATTAATATGACAAATTTTATTACTTAAATGTTATTTTCGGTGGATACCCATATTTGAGTAGATGCTCCATTTCTTTATTAAACAGTATATTTATTTTCATCTACTGTCTTTCTTTAACAAGTTTTCTCAAATATTCAGGCAAGCAGACAAAAATAAAATAAATATACTGTTGCATAAATAAACAGTGTCTACTCAAATATTGGTATCTGTTATAAATAACATTTAAATAATAAAATCTATTGAATTAATAAACAAAAATCCATTGCTTCTTTAGAAATTGCTTTATTTACATTAGGATATGAAGCTGAGCTGATATGAATGTTTTGAGAATCTGAGAAAGATTTGTATTTATAAGGTACTATTCAATTTTGCTTTATTGGTAACACACTCCATGGCTGATTGGTATAAGTCTGTTCGATCTAACAACAGTTTCTCCTTCCAAGGGAGGCACAGGTTTGAGACCTACCAAAGAGTGCATATTTTTCTTTAATAAGATTTCTTGAATATTCAGGCCAGTAGAGTAGACAAAAATAAATAAATATACTGTTTAATGAATAATGGGAGTGTTTACTCAAATATGGTTATCCACTAAAAATAATGTTTAAATAATAATAAATAAAATATATATATATATATATATATCAATATACATACATACACACACACTTTTATATATCAAGAACTATTTTGGGGGAAAGATGTATGTCAAAGTGTAAGAAGTGTTCATGTGATACATTTTGTTCTTTAGGACTTCATCAGACTGAATTTGTTTACGTTGCTGCGACTACACATGTGTACAAACAAGAGACACTCGGAATTCTGAATGTTCAATTATTTTTCTTTTCTTTTTAGGTATTTTGGGTATATAAATTAGCCGATTTCATTTGATTATTTTTCTTTTTGTTTCCATAATTTTTATTATTAGATATCCCACACTGTGATAATAGAAGATCTGCCAGGAATGGTGAAGTGTGATAAGAACCTGGTCACAAATGTACTGTGGAACATCTATTGATCCAGGCACTCTCTGAACATTGTTGTTTTAGTGAATTGTTTTCTCCTTTGATCACAGTAACATTTTTTGCTATGGTGAGCACCTAATACATTTAATGTGTTGTTTTGTAAAATGTCCCTTTTGTGTTAATATAATCTTTTATTTAAATTTCTTGAGATTTCTCCTATCTATTTTTTATGACAGTTTGTACAATCATTGATAGAGGAAATTCCTCTTTTATGTTTTAGTTTATTGCTTTGTTTTGTATTGACTAAATCTTTTATTGTTTTAGATATAGTTGTAACAAATTTTATGTTGAGTTTAGATATATTCTTTCCAATTGTAGATGTGATAGAGTTAGTTGGTAGGACAATATATTTTTTTGCTTCATTATGTTTCTCAGGAGGGGCTGTTTTTCTATTCTGGAATATTCTATGAGCCTTTTTTTGCATTGAATTTAAAATAATTAGACTATTGAAGAAGCTTGAAAGTGTTTTCAATGTACTTCATGTAAATATTGAGGGCTGCAGATTTTGAGTGCTCTTAAGCAGAATTCGATGATTGTTTCAGATTTTATTTTGTTTTTATGATGGGAATAGAAATTAATTAGATCATTTTTATTCGTTGATTTTCAGTAGATACTACATTTTTAGCTACTGTTAACGCAGTGTAGCATGATATCTTGGAAAGGTAAAAAACTGTATTCTTACATTTTGTATGTGAATTCTATTGTATGTTTGACTTTGTTTAGTTTATCTACAAGAATAAGTAAATCAGTATCAGGAAGATATATTAATAGAGCATCATTAATATATCGTAAGTATAGTTATTGTCTGGGTAAAATATTTTGGAAGGGACCAAATTTGAGAAATTCTAAAAAAAAAATATGTACCATCACTTCACTAAGAGGTGAGCCCATTGGTAATCCGAGTTTTGTTTATAAAATAACGGTCTAAAACAATTTTGATGAGCGGAGAGTGAGTTTTAAATTGTATGTTTAAAATACAACAAGAAAGACTTTGTCTAAATACCAGAGGAGGAACAGACTGGAATAATGGAGATTAGAACTCTTTTATTATATCCTCCCATAACATCACTGATAAATATTTTTGAGATGGTAGTGGAGAGTGAACCTTCCCACATTGTCTTGTATTATTTTGCCTTGCTCTTATTGCTATTAAGAATTTTCTCAGTTCTGCCTAACCATGTCTTCTTATTCAACAATTCTTACATAGCAAAGAATTAGAATGAAAACAAAACCTGCTTTCTAGTATATTTTTATGTCACTTTTGCATATATTTAAGTGATTGATTGATTTGTTATTTTTATGGCTTATCAACCTTTTGAAGTTTATTTAAAGCCAGAAAATATCTTTCAATTGTTAGAATTTTTTGGAGATAATAATGATTTACTGATACAAGTCCTATTAATTAATCCATAGTTGGAGGTAAAAGAAGTGGATTCATATCCTTCCCTAGGGTATTTGTGTGTAAGTGAATATAATGAACCCAACCGGAAATGGAACTTGGTTTTCCGATCTCCAATTCCGAGCCATTATCCATTCCACCACCTGTACATCCAAGTTTATAGCACCTGATATTTCCAAGTGGTCACCCATCTAGGTACTGATCCAGCTTGACATTGCTTAACTTCAGTGATCATATGAGAACTGGTATTTCAGTGTGAAACAGCTGTAAGCCTTGCTTATATTTGCTCTTCTTTTGAATGTGATCTTTTTTTTTTTTTTTTTTGCATATTTAAGAAATGGTTGCTATAAAGTATCGAAGAAAAAATTCTTTTATGAAGACCATTCAACTCTTTCATGAACAAATTTTATTCTTATAAATTAAAAAAATATAATTCTCTTGAGATATATATATATATATATATATATATATATATATATATATATATATATATATATATATATAAAAATGTAATATTAGAAGTGGATATGTGTATGGTGTAATGGATAGTGTCTCAATTAAAAATTAGAGAATCAAGTTTGATTTCCAGTTGCATTCATTACATCCACTTACATGCAAAAGCCCTTGGGAAAAGTAAGAATCCAGGTTTTCTCCACCTGCTATGGGTTAAATAGTAGGACTTGTATAAGAAAAAAAAAAAAACATTTTTATCTCTAAAAGAATGTCCATGCAATATACACTTCCAAAAAAATAAAAAATAATATTTCTTACAATCTAAAATATGTTTTGGCTTTGCCAACCCATAAAAATCAATTCAATCAGATATATTGAAAATACATTGATTCTTTGAGTTTATTATGTTAAAACTGAAATTGAGCACTTCATGTTTTAAAAATTTTAGCAATCTTTTCAACAGATTAAAAAATATGAAAGACAAAATTATTGCTAGTTTAGATTTTTTTTTTTTACAGTGGTGTTCACCTCTGTGCAAGCCACTCGAGGTAGAGCGTTACAGAGTAAGAGGCACAGTTTATGTGGATAAGTGGAGAAGATAACAGAAATGCTTATACGCTAATGTACCAGTTAAATGCTAAAATCACTTAAAGAAATGCCAAAAACTGAACCTTACATAGCAATAGACAAAAGTAACTTTATAAATCTATCTTTTGTCCATGCATTTAACATTGCTGCCATATCTGGTCTTCTGCTCCTACTATATATCTTGAGATTCTTGACAAATTTAAAAGAAGGGTCTGTAATATAATCAATCCTGACCTGGCATCTCGTCTTCAGTCACTTTCTCACCAAAATGACATGGCCTCCCTCATTCTTTTCTAAATATAGCTTACGGTGACATCATGTTGTAATATTGGTTCCCATATGATCATTGCAGTTAAGCAACATCGAGCCTGGTCAGTACCTAAATGGGTGACCACTTGGAAATACAAGGTGTTGTAAGCTGGATGTGTGGGTGGTGTAATGGATAATGGCTTGGAATTTGTTTGATTTGATTCACATGCACAAATATCCTTGGTAAATTCAACTCTTCTCCTCCCAGCTATGGGTTAATTAGTAAGACTTGTATCACTAAATCATTATTATCACCAAAAAAATTCTTACAATCTCAAAACATTTTCTGGCTTTAAATAACCTATGAAGGGTTGATAATCCATAAAAAAAAAATGTATGAATCAATCAATTTCTACAAATATTTTAATGGTAATTGTTCTGATGAGCTTAATGACTAGATTGGCAACTAGGTCTCACCATTTTACTATTGAGCTAGCTAGTAGCAACCATCAGCTCTTTCCTAAAAGTTTCTTTTCTCAAATTTCTTGCCTGCGGAACTCCATTCTGATTTCTTGCTATCTTGCCACCTACAATTTTCCAAAATCTAAATGCAGCGCCAATTGCTGTCTTCTGTCTTCCTGAAATCTGTTCCTTTATTGTCCTTTTCTTCACTAAAATCTTCTCACTCTCTTTCACTCCCAGTAACTGTCTGTGTCCTAGTGGCATTATCTCTTCGCTTGGGGTGAAATGATTAAAATTCTAAATAAATAATGATTTGCCAACTTATTACAAACCAATGTTATTTCATTTTCGCCAGTGATTTGTATAGACAAAAATTCAGATTACTGATGGGATTGCCTCTTAGCGATGTTTTAGATTGTCTTTTCTTAGAATTTTTTGAAACTGGTCCTTTGTCAAAGAAAATTAATCTACAGAATCAACATATTTCCAATATATCGATAATGTTTTATTAATATACCCCCGGAAATAATATTCGCTGATCTTGTAAATAATTTAGACAACATTGAACATTCAATAAAAAAAATAAAAAAATGACCATAATTGGCTTAAATTAATTAACAAAATGATATTTTTCTTTGATGATAAGATCAACTTAGTTGCTTTTATTCTAATGACAAATGGCCAAAATTATACTATATTTCATATACGAGGCTAAGCAAAAGGTTGTTTATAATCCTAATATAATTGTGCAACCCTTTTGTTACTTTGTTCGTTTGTTGTGTCCTACCAATACCTCATAAATAATAGACCATTCCGTTTTGATAATGTAGAAAGAGGGAAGAAGACACTACTTGGTTTTGGTAAGAAAATGAAAGAAAGAAAGAAAGATAGGTGTTTTTAACATCTACTGCCAATACCTCATAAATAATGGACTATTCTGTTTAGTCATATCGATTGAGAGAAAAAGATACTACTTGGTTTCAATGAGAAAATGAAAGAAAGAATGAAGGGAAGATAGAAATATTTAACATCTGCCAATACCTCATAAATAATGGACTATCCTGTTTGGTCACATAGATAGAGAAAAAGTCACTGCTTGGTTTCAATAAGAACATGAAAGAAAGAAAAAAAGAAGAGGAGATAGAATAATGGCTGTTTCAGGGAAATGGAAAATGTTGTTAATTTCAAATCTTTTCATTTGTACCCACTTCTTAAAATAACGACCAGCATTCATATGTTCAGATTGTTATTACAATATTTTGTTAAAGTTGCTAAGCTCAAATATTTAAAGATGTGATAGGTGAATTTCTACGCATATTTTATTGTCACAGAACTTGCCATTAGCTTATTCACTTATTAATTGAAGAGTTAAGATTCATCAGAAAATTCAAATACGAAAACTGAAATTTTCATGGGTCTTTCTAATGATAAAATAATTTTTCTTTTAATACAGGCTGTTCTCTAATCATGAAAGTTTTCAAATCAGATTAAAAAAAAGAAAACATTAAAAGGCAACAAAAAGTGTAATTTCTTGGTTGATTTCATTTTTATTAGTTATTCCATGCATTTTTTTTTGCATACAGATAAGATTTTTATGCAGTGTTTTGATAAAATGGAACTGGTCTTTTAATATACAGGGTCACCCTCCAAAAAAAATGGCATCATTTAAAATGTGAATGTCTGAGTTATTGTCTCAAGCAAATGAGATTAAATAGTCCTTTTGCTGAACAATAAAAGATTTACTTATCAAAATTCGAACAAGGTACTCGAACGGGTGTAGATTTTACAACCAATTTCACAAAGCTTAAAAAATGTTCAATATGTGCACCACCTGTGAGATGACACACGCAAAGTTGGTAGTCTAGCTTCTGTCCAACATGATGTAGCTTGTCTTGTGTAACATTCCTAGCAGAGATGATGTAACAATGCATTTACATTATTCATATAATTATTCTGTTATATTAGTAATGATTGCCTAAATTCCTGACCACTGACAATCCTTTTCTACATGATTTTTCTATATATTCCTACAGTAAAATCTATTAAGAATGCATTTACATTATACATATAATTATCGTGTTGTATTAGTAATGCTTGCTCAAATTCCTGACCACTGACAATCCCAATGATTTTCCTATGCATAACATACTAACCAAGTGCGGAAATTTTCTAAAACAAGTTTTAGGTTGAAAAGATTATAAAATTTGATATTTAACCATCAGATTACATTTTTTTTTCCTGAAAAGAACAAGTCATTATACCACAACAATGTATCAGTTGCACAAAAATCATGCTCTTTGTACTTTAACAAGAGGATTAGCTAAAGTTGGCATCCTGTTGGGCACCATATGCAGTGAAGCACTTCCTCTTGCCCTCACTAAACAGTAATTTTACGAGAGCACAGGCAGCATGAGAGACCAATTTGAAAATGTTAATGTGGAAGATCTACTATTCTTCGTAAAAGGAATTGGTTCTATACTCCAAAATATGAAGATCTGATTTGTTGTTTGAGAATCATCAGTAACACACATATATATATATATATATATATATATAATTATAGATAACTAGACTCGTTTCGAAAAACCCTTGAATTTTTGATTTGCTAATAATCAAATCAATCTCGAGGGGGGGGAAGGTTTTAAAAAAAGAATGAGCTACAAACATGAACTTCTGTCGACAAAAAATCGCACAGATGCAGATCTGAAGCCCAAAGAAAAAACCCCGATACGAGTAAACAACTAACTCACAAAAGAGCTCAATACAACCGTAGAGCAGACCTAGATACACCTAGTGAGCCAGACAAACCTACCTAGGTTTCACCTAAACGGATCGTCAGGGAAAGTAAGGCCTTACTTTCCCTGACGATCTGTTTAGGTGAAACCTAGGTAGGTTTGTCTGGCTCACTAAATATATATATATATTAAAAATTAGGAGCTCAGTTGATTTGACTACCTTCGTTTCAACCTTATGGTATCCTCAGGTAATTTTTATTTTTTAGAACCGTCACTTTTACTCTAACAATTTCAATTCTTGCAATTCCTGCTAGTGGAACTTTCTTCTGTTTCTTTGCTTCCCTGATAATTATAATCTTCAAAAATTTAAATGCAATGGTAATTGGTATCATCTATATTCTTGAATTCTGTTCATTTTTTATCCATTCCGCAATCCTCCTTATACCCAATCTTTCTCCCACTTTCACTCTCTGTACCCACCCCCCTGTGTACTAGTGGCACTCTCACCTTACTTGGGGTGAATTGCTTTAAAAAAAAAATAATACAAATAAAGAAAATATTTCTAATAGAATCTTTATTTTTTATTCTTCTCTCTTTACGATTGTTTCATTTTAAAACAACCTCAACATTGTGATATAAAGCAACAAAAATAAAATTAAAATGAAAAATGATGATGATAATGCTCCATGTAAAAAATTTGAATGATTTAAGGCTAAACTGGTTCTATATTTTGTCTTTATTTGAAAATATAGTTAGAAAATAATAAAA